AGTGCACAAATAGACACACAGTCATGTGTCCATGAAGAGGCCAGGGCATTGCATTTCGGAAGGGATTCACTTTTCAGTAGATGGAGCTGGAGTGATTGGGCTGACATGTATGCTGATTTCAGTGGCTGGTAAGGTGTGCCCTCTTACTGGATCCTTTCCCATTGGCTATTCATAGACGACGACATGAACTCCAGGGGGTGTGTTGGGTGGACATAGCCATTTCTCATCTACTCCAACTTTCTTTTCCTCTCTATGTGCTTCCGCCAAGTAGAAATCACAGTGTGGTGTGTGGCTGACAGCCTGTGTTACTCAGTGGGGAGAAGCGAGGTGACTTGCAGGCCGTGGGGGTGCTTGGTCGGTGTGCATAGTTGTCCCACCAGTGGTTATTGGGGCATCTCGGGCTAGATAGGAGGTGCTTGGAGGAGGTGGGATTTAATATTTACATTTTTTGCATTTAGGGAATGAAAACATCCTGTGATGTGTACGTTGGGTCCTACTCCAGTTCCTTTCTTGCTGGGGAGGACCTCTCCTCCTGCCAGTGCCTTGAAGGCATGGCTGCACATACCCTGATGTCCTTGGCTCTGCCACAGTACCATCTGCCCCAAGGACCCACTCAGTGTTGTGTGGAAGAATACACGGCCCACCCAGTCCAGTTGCACAGTGAGGCTTGGTGCCCAGGTTCACCCAGAGAGCCTGGCTCCTGCCACTGGCCCCCCACCCTCCTGCTGTGAGCAACTCCGGAGGTCCCTCATGTGCACCATGTACGCTGCCGTGCTTGTGTTTCCTGGGCAGCTGGTTAAGAGGAAGAGCACAGAGTTTTAAAAAAATGAAGTGAAATATAAATACATTGTAGCTTGTATTTCATTTGAAAAATCAGTGTGATCCCCTCTAGGTGCAAGCGTTACCGGTGTCCCAGGAGCCTTCCTTGTGCACATCTGAGAGTCGCTCCCCGTGCCAGAGGGGCCACTGTTCTGCCACCCACTGGCACAGATACTGGGCATGCACAGGGGTCTGGGGCACCAGTCCTGCATCTCTTCCCCGCTGTGGAATGCCCTGCCATTGCCAAGCAGCATGTCCATTCCCCCGTGCTTGAGCATTTGAGGTCTTTCCAAGTGACAGAGTCCTACTGTGCGCACATGTACATGGGACTTTTCACATTGGGAGACATGGCCAAATCATTTGTCAGAATGACTGTGTCGTCCTGCAGAAGCCGTCTGGGAGGGCAGGTACATCCCATCCCAGAGCACACCTGGTGCTGCCACATCACCATAGCCACCCCGATGGGTGTGCAGCAGCTTGTGGGCTTCCTTGTGTTTCCTGCCGTCTTCCTGTCCTCTCTCCTGCAAGCCTTCCATCTTGACTGGCCTGGCATTCATTCTCACAGCTGAGGAGGGATCAGGACCTTTCCTCCCTCGGCGACCCAGTCCCACCCTGCCTGGCTGAGCTGCGTGCAGCTCTCGTCCCCAGGGCTGTGGTTCTCATTTCTGCTCTGCTCTGATCCGTCTTGGACTCTCCATCCTGTTTCCAGGATCGGCTGTTTTGATTCCTGCAACTTCGTGGTCTCCACTTCTGGTTGTATACCCTGCCCAGCCGTGCTGTTCTTTGGAATCGTCTTGGCTATTTTTTGACCCTTGACATTTCCATGTACATTTTAGAATAAGTGAGTTGATTTTCACGATAAGCCTGCCAGGATTTGACTGGATTGCTGTAGATACAGAGATGCATGTGGGGAGAACTGCCACAGGACAAGAATTGAACTGGAAGTGTCTCTCCATTTCTGTGTCTTTGTTTTTTTTCAGTAATGTTTTGTAGTTGTCTGTGTAGAGCGATATCTCATGTTAGACTTATTCTTGTGTTTTTGAGCTGCTTTGGTACCGTTTCCTAATTGTTTATGGTATGTGGAATCACTTGCTTTCTGTATCCAGCAAGTTTTCTGACTCACTTATTGGAATAGTTTTATTCCTTCGGATTTTTCGTGTCTGCAGTCATTGTCATCTTAAGGTTAGTGCTTCTTTGTTCTCCCTCAGCGTGGGGGAGAGGGGATTGAGCCCAATCTAATTCCAGGGAACACCTTTTCCTTGAGGTACAGACGGTTCCTGGCATGGTCCCTGGACACATCAACACGACTGTGCTCCTGGAAGCCTCCTCCATCCACTTTTTTTACCGTTTTAAGGTTTCCGTTTATATACCAGAATCATCCATTTGTCTCTGCATGGACAATTTACTTTCCTTTTTTTACTGTGAAGAATAAAACTGCTGTGAACATTCTTGTACTAGTCTATGAACATATGTACTCATTTCATTAACTTTAGAAATGCGTGGACAGTTATTGAGTTTTGGTACCACGCACCCCCCAGCAGTGCTGGGGCTCCCGTAGCCCCACACTGTGACCTTGGCATATCTGTCCCTTTCCTTTCAGCTGTTTTGGTGGAGTGCTGTGTGTGTTTCCCTGTGGTTCATCTAGCGTTTTCCTGGTGAGGAGCACCTGTGCTAGTGTCAGTTCATCACTTGGATAGTTTCTGGGGTCCACTGCCTGTCCAAATCTTTAACTCATTTAAGGTGATGTGTTGTTTTTGAGCAAACATGAGTGCAGCGTGCTTGTCTTGCTCCTGTTCTCAGGGATCCTCAGTCTCCATGTTGCTGTCTGTTAGTGGTCCTGGAGGCCCTCTGCCAGCTGGAGGTTTCCTTCCTCCCACGTGCTGAGCATGGGTCATGAGCAGTGAGACTCTCCACAGGCCTTTTCTGTAGCTATTGAAATGATCACATGATTTCCTTTTTAACTTTTCTTAATGGTAAAATACATTGTTGTTGTTTTTTCTTGAATTTCTTGCATTCTTGAATCTTTTGTTATCATTTGTGTTACCTGTTTTAATATATGTGTACATTAGGCTTGCTCCTGTCAGATCAGGAGTTTCTGTCCTTGTCCATAAAACATACTGGCTTATGATTTTCTTTTCATGGAATGCCCTCATCAGGTCCTGGAGTTAGGGTTATGGCAGCCTCACAAAACAAATTGGGAACATTTCTTTCTCTGTTCTCTGAAAGAATGTGTATAGATTTCTTTAAATGTTTGGTCAGCTCCGCCAACTGGGCCAGGAGTTTCCTAGAAGAAGGTGTGAATTGTGAATTGGAGTTTCTCACGGATGCGCTCTTGTTCCCAGGTGTTGGGGTGGCTGCATATGGGATGCGTCATTCCTTTCCAGATTGGGGCCACTCCAGGGTGGGTCACAGCAAAACTTGGCGGAACTATACTAGAAAGAGGCAACCCTGTGCAGGTTGAGGACTGAGGAGAGGCCACCATAGCTGAGATGGGCATCACGCTCGCAGGCCCTGTCTCCTGGGGCCCTTCCTCTTGCCGGCTGTGTCACCATGGCAGGTCTCAGTCATGGCAGATCTCACCATGGCGGTTTCAACCCTCTGGAAAGGTTATCCAAGGTCACTTAGGATGCCTGTTACTGTCAGGTCTGGTGCACACAGTGGATAGCCATGGAGGACACATCTGAGTCCATAGGCAGGTCTGTGGCCGGGGTGCTTGGGTTCCCCCCAGGAGCAGGTGGTCCTTTGGTCCCGGGGAGCTGAGGCCTCCAGTGCTCTGGTGTAGCTTCCACGACTGCATGGGGTTTGCCAGTGGCTCACTTGCCTTGAGAAAGTTCTGGAAGAAAAGCTTGCTGTGGAAGGGAGTGGTATGCTTCTGGTGACTATGACCTCCCTATCTGCAGTGGTGGCACACCTGGCACATCTGTGTGCCATGAGCCCAGCTGGCATGGGTTGGTGCTACTGGCACCTTCTCTAGGACTGGGGCGCTTTGCTGCCACATGAGAGAGTAGTCGCGGTTCCCAGAGCCTCCAACTGTGGTTTGGACCTGGTGCTGGGAGTGGTGCTGCTGCACCATCTAGTCCTGGGAGCTGACAGCATTTGCAGAGTCACAGAGCCACCCCACCAGTTCTGCCTGGGCTGGCCTCTCCTCGCACCTGCCTGTAAAACACATCCCCTTCATCCTGTTCTTACAATGTGTCTATCATAGTAGGAGGGGCTCCTGCATCCATCGTCTTGCCTTTGCCACCTCAGGTTTGAGATGGGTGGCCCCACCCTGTCTTGATCTGGACCCCCTCCAGGGTTCCCCAGTCTGCCATCCCTGTGTGCGTCTTGTGCCCTCTGCCTCTCTTGTGACATGATCTAGGGGCCTGCAGAAGCTACAGGAGCACTGCGTCCTGAGCCCCGTATGAGCAGCCTGCATGGCTCACTCTGGAGGTGGGCACATTGCTGTCCACATGAGGCTACCGGGGCTCACTCTGGAGGTGGGCACGTTGCCGTCTACATGAGGCCACTGGGGCTAGCAGCAGCGCGAAGCTTGCTCAAGGTCAACCCTGGGGCTGGGGCCAGAATCAAGGCTACTCAGTCCTTGCCAGCCTCGTGATCGGGGTGCATCCTGCACTTGGGTCCATGGTGGGTTCTGCTCACCTGCAGGTATCCTCTGCTGATGGCCCTGATGCGCTTCGCCTTGTCAGAGAGCAGATGTGGGGAGCCAGGTGTGGATACGGGAATAGTTGAGTCTCCATGTTCAGGAGCCGAAAAGGCAAAGCCACAGCGCAGCCGGCATGGTGGGTGACAGGTGGAGGGAGAGGAGTCAGCTCCCAGAAGGAAAGTGGATCACAGCAAGGGCACTGTGGGTCGCACACGTGCACCCCCCTCCCCGTAAGTTCAGTACCTCCCAGGGGGGTGGGTGGCACCCCAGGTGGCTTGCATCTGTCTATTTCACCACTGTCATGCACTTGAGAACCTCGCCAGTGGTCTTTCTGGAGAGGCTTCAGATGTGGACAAGAAGATGGGCAGGTCAGGGCCACTCACAGCCCACCTCACAGGGGCCAGACCTGGGCAGAAGGGACTATTCGTTGCCCACAGAAGAGGTGACTTCTGCACATAAACTGAAACCGTAGTGGACCAGGATTTTGATCATTTAATTTAAGGATGATGTCTGAAAATGCTGCTTTCTTTTCTAGGATAAAGATAAAGTTTCTCTAACCAAGACCCCAAAGCTGGACCGCAGTGATGGCGGGAAGGAGGTGAGAGAGCGTGCCACCAAGCGGAAGCTGCCCTTCACCGTGGGCGCCAATGGAGAGCAGAAGGACTCAGACACAGGTACTAGACTGTGCCCCACCACCTCCGTGGCCTCCACAGCCAGGCTGGGAATTTGGCCCTGTAGTTCTGGGTTTGCATGGGGGACCCCCTCGGCGTCCTGCCACAGCCACCTGGGCCCCCCATGCCACCTCCTTTCCTGAGATCCAGGACACGGGAGGATGGGGATACTTCCCCTCAGGGATCCCACACACAAGAGCCCTCCCCCAGTGTGTTCAGCCCAGGGTGTAGGGGAGAGGGGGGCTGCTTGCTATGGGCTCCTGGGTATCCCCTGACAGTTTGACACAGGAGGGTGAACATGGCTTCCCTCAGGACTACAAAGGCACATACATTAAGCTCCATTGTTTGTAGTAAACCAAAGCGAGCCCCAAAAGTGAGCGGGGCTGGTGTAACCTTCCGTGAGTTAGGGTGATCTGAGGCTGCAGGGCAGGAGTGTGTGCGTGTTTATATGCCTGTGTGTGTGTGCCCATGCTCCTGGGTGGGGTTTGTGCCTCCTAGTGGGCCAGCTTTCCAGTTGATTCTGTTTTGAGCTGCTCAGGGTCAGGGGCAGCAAAGTACTCTGTGCTGCCCATGCTGGCTCTTTCATGTAGTCATCTGGCAGCCACAGCTGAGCTGTAGGACAGTTGCAGAGGGTGCCCAGGAGAGAGTTTTGTCATGTGGGTGGGACATCAGGAACTGAAGTGAGGTGAGCTCATGGCTCTGAGAGAGAATGGAGGAGAGAGAGACAGTAGGGACAACATCCTGGATGTGAATGTCGACATCCCAGCTCTTACTGGCCAGGTCCAGGAAATGTAGGCCTTGGGACCATGTGGCAGTCACAGCCATCTGCCTATCCTCCTGGATAGGTGTCCCAGGTGTGCTCATAGAGCTGGCCCCAGGCTGTGCTTAGGAAAGCCAGCAGGGTGGGCAGTCTTCCTGGGGAGAAGCAACAGAGGTGGGATGACTAGACCTGTGGCTCCTGCTGCCAGCAAGCTTGTCTGGGGATAGGAAGAGGGCATTATAGGGTGGGAGAGGCATGTTGCTCCCAGTAGCTGGCAGCTCTAAGGAAGAGCCACCGAGGCAATTGGGTGGCACGGGCTGGCCTCAGCCCCCAGAATGGCAGGACAGGGCCCTCACAAGAGGCAGTACTCTCCTGGGCTTCAGGCTTCGAGAAATCAGACCTGAAGGTCCCCTTTGTCCTGCTTGGCGCTCGTGCTGATTTTGGTTGTCGCATGTCATAATCACCCTCGGATATGAACTTTTTTGTGGGGGTTGGCACCAGACGTCCACCACGTTCTACATTCTGCCTCTCCAGGGTCTCTGGGTGTTGGTGCTTCGACTCCTTGGGAGAATGCTGTGCCTTGCTGAAAGGCGTGTTCCTGTGACCACATGGTGCCACCCTGTCTAGCTGGTCAGACGTCTGAGTGGTGCCTGTGTCATGGTGGAGGGGCCACTCAGGCCATGCTGTTGGAGGCCTCAGTCTCACCCACTGTGGGTTCGCCTCAGTGAAGTGTTCAGCCCTCACAGGTTCTGGGACCCTCCAGGATGTCCTCCAGGATGTTCCTGGCATGGCTCAGTGCTCAGAGTGGTGGGTTTCACACTGTTTCCTTCCCCTGTGAGCGGCAGGCCCAGGTGAGCATTTTGAGAGCACTCCTGTAAGGAGGGGCAGGCCCGAGTGAGGGTGCTAGGAGCACGCCTGTGAGACAGGAAATTGAGGAGCACTTTAAAGCAGAACTTCCCAGGCAAGGACTGTCTGTTTGGTCATGCATCATGTCCCTGCCTGCCTGCTGCAGCAGGGAAGTCTGTCCTCACAGGGGAAGGAAACAGTATGAAACCCACCACTCTGACCCCTGGGGTATGCCAGGAACATCCTGGAGGACATACTGGAGGGCCCCAGAACAAGGGCTGGACACCTCACAGATGCGAACCCACAGTGGGTGAGTCCAAGTGTTTGTCCTGCTTCCTGTCCTTTCTGGGGCAGTGTCAGAGCTGCCTTTCTCATACATCTACCTATCTGTCCTGAGCTAGACTTCCCATGAGGCTCCCCTGAAAGGTGCGAGTATGGAGCACTATCTGGCCCAGGACCCTCTGGCAGAAGTGGCAGGTGGGCTGGCTGCCTAGCTCCTGGCTCTGTCCCATTGGCACCTCCTGGTGACAGGAGTCCTAAGTGGTGCTGACCCCATACTCACCAAGGGTGGTTCCTTCTCACATGGAGCTAGAGACCCATCCAGTGGCCACGGCAGGCAGGCAGGGACACTGACGGGTGAGTAATGGCAGGCCTTTGTGGTCCCTTGGGGCTGAGGGAGAAGACCGAGCAGTCCTCCCTGGAGGGAGTGGCTGGGGAGGGGTGGGCCAGGCCTCCTGTGGTGTCCCTGTAGCACCCTTTGCTGAGAAGGACTTGGCCTGTCTGTGGTGGGGGGGTAGGGGAGGACAGGACTCAGAAGTGGGGGCTGCCGAGCTTCCTGTGGCCACCATGCTGCCTCATGCCTGGCCCTGCATCAGGGGTACTGTGTGGAATGGGCCCTGCATGTGGTCAGCTTGCTGGAGGGCAGCCCCTATGGTGCTTAGTCAGGGCTGGGGGCGGCCTGCCAAGAGCAGCCCAGCCCTGTTGTGAGTCAGCCCTGGGACAGGCTGGGCCACCCCAAGGTGCCTGCACATTGGATATGAGCATGCAGCTGAATTGTCCCTGCCCTTCCAGATCTCTGAACAAGAGCATGCCCCAGAACCAGGCCTGGCGGGGCTGTGGGTGCTGTGTCCAGGCCCCCCATGGGCTTCCCCGTGGGCATCTGCCTAGGAATGGCCAGCAGATTCGGACAGCTCCACCACTGGTGCAGTCAGGAGGGTGACCCCTCCTGTAGGGGAAGCAAGGGAAGCAGGCCTCACTGCAGCAGCTAGCACAGCCTCAGTCCTCCTCAGATGGCCTGGCCTGAGACTACCCCCACAGCCTTCCTGCTTTTTTGACCTCTGCGCCTGGCCTCCTGTCTTTTGAAGTCTGTCCTCCACTGAGCCAAGCCTGTATCTGTTTAAGGAGATTTGCCACTGGCTATTGAATCTGCATGATGGGATTACATGCTATCTGGGATTTGCTTCAGATTATGCTAGTTGGTCTTCTCTGTATATCAAGCTTTCCCGTAACTCTAGAAACCCTGGGCTTGGTGAGTGTTGCATGCCCCTCCAGGTCCCCACAGGAGCTTTTGTCTGTGAACACCTGCCTGCCCCGTGCCTGGATGTTTGGTTGGAACAAGGGAAGAGGGTCATTTTGGCTGGCTTTGACCTTGCGGGTGAGACTCTGGCTCTGGTGTCTGGGTGCTTCCCATGGTGCTGCATGTGGGTGCTCATTCGTCAGTTTTGGTGTCTGGGACATACGCCTGTTTCCAGGCGTTATGTTCCCTTCTGGCTCCCAGGTGGGGGAGGGCTGTTCTTGTATCTCCTGCTCTGGGCTGTACCCCGTTCCCGGAAGGCAGAGACGGGCTGTGCCATGGGTTCCTGTGGAACTTCTTGGTGCTCAGCACCAGCCTTGCTCAGCGCCATGCACTTACACTATGCGTGTACCTGTGTGTGTGTGCTTCTGGCGGGGGTCATGCTTCCTGGTATGCTAGCTTTCCAGTTGATTCTGCCTTCAGCTGCTCAGGGGCAGAGGGAGCGCAGGCCTCTGTACCGCCCTCACCGGCTCTTCCTGTCTCTTCTGTATGGTGATCCCTGTACTCAGAGGCCTCCCTCTTGCCAGTCACCTAACTTCCCTGAAGCCCACAGAAAAGGGTGGGGGCAGCAGAACACCCAGCTGGCCCTGGTTCCCTCTTCAGCATCCACAGATGAGCCATGCCCAGGCAGAGGGCTTTATCACAGGGTGCAGCTGCTGCCACCCAATGACCAGTAGAGAGGAGTGTGAGCAGCAGAGACAGAACAGGAAGTTGAAAGGAGGCGCCAGTCACTGCCGACTTGCGGGGGCGACTGCACTTGGTGCATCGCAGTGCACTGGCAGGTGTGTTCAGGAACGCTGCTGCTCTCATGCCTGGAAACACTTGTGTATTGAGCCTAACATTTAGGTGGAAAGGTTAGATGTTCTGATATGTAACTGCCATCTCCATCTCCTGTGGGGACTGTTGGTGACTGAGGCTTTTTGGTCTAGGGTACTGTGTTTCATGACTTTGAACAGCAAGATTAGGTCAAATACTTGGTGTGGAAAGGCATGTTTTTGGGGTCAAGTAAAACAGAAAAGCTGTTAGAGCCGCAGTCCTCTGGTCTGCGCTCATGGAGACGGCTAGTAGACCTGCCTGCTGCTCAGCTGGCCAGAGTGATGGGCCTTGGCTGACATGGGCAGGGAACCCTCTGCTGTTGCAAATGTTGCCACTAAAATGTTCCTTGTAGAGTAGAATCCAGGATGCACTGACATCTTGGGATATATGGCAGGACCCCAGAGTTGCAGATGTTCCTATTCTGGTAATGTTGTAGACTGTCTCCTCAAAGACTCTCTTGCTAAAAAAGCCTAGGAATTAGAGATGCCAAATAATGAACACGAAAAGCATTCTTTCCTGTGAGAAGCTGAAGGTCATGCACTTGAACAGAAAGCCCCAGGAAGAGTCTCTGCCTCCGTCCTGCCAGGAGGGGGAGGAAGCGGCTGTGGGACTGGATACCACAGAAAACTCGACCACTCGGGAAGGCCACACCACCTTGACACTCGGGCTGTCAGGGGAGGCCCTTTCTCTCTTCCAACAAGTCCTGATGAGGGAGGATAGGGGCTTTGAGAGGTTGCTCCAGAGACTCCTAACCCAAGTCCTGCCTTTTGAGGGGGCTGGCATTTGTATTTGTGCGCCCCACGGCCCCTGAACTCTCTGGAGAGACAGACCTGTACCCGGGCTTCCCAGCTCACAGTACAAGTGAACACAAACTTGTGATTAGGATGACAGACCACAAGGAAGAAGCTGGTCCTGAGAGAGGGTCAGCAGCCCCAGGGACTTCACACATTAGAATGATGAGATACACAATATATGTCAATATACGTCAATATACACAATAATACGTCAAAAGGGAGAGAATTTAAAACACTAACAAGAAACAAAAACAAACTATCCAAAAATAGCATGCATATTTTTTAAAGCATCAAGTGGAACATCTGGAAATGAAAATTGTCATCACTGAACTAAAAACTCAGTGGGAAAATTATATGGCTCATTGGATACAGCATAAGAAAGAATTAGTGAAATGGAAGTTCTGACTAAAGAAATGGCATCTGTGGCCTAGGAAGAAAATGAGGCAGAATGTATGAAAGAGGCTACAAGGTGAGGAGGAGAGAGTGAGGTTTAACATTCATATCTCATCAGAATTGCAGAAGGAGAATGAAGGGAAGGGAGAGAGCTGAGGCCAAGATAGTGACAGAGAACTTTTCAGAGTTTATGAACACGAGTCCTCAGATTCAGAAAGCATCATGAATTATAAGCCACAGAGAGAAAAATAACAACACATGAAGTGTAACTTTGTGAGTTTACAAAACACTGAAGGGAGGGTGTGGAAGTTGCCAGGCCGGGACCCCAAGGCCTCTTCCCAGTCCTGCCCACAGAAGGGGCTTTGGGGTCCCAGGGGGCTTACCCAATGTGCGTGCTGCCTCAGGAAGGTCTTGAGTGGATATGGGTTCCAGCTACCAAAAAGTCATGCTCCTCCAGGAAGAGGCCACTTCCTGGTAGAGTGCCTCACAGAAGACCCAGCCAGGTTGAGGACAGGGTGAGGTTTCTGGAGACTCCCGCTGACCAGGGGTGACAGAAGATGACTGCTGTCCTCACAGAGGTCACGGGTGAGTGTGACCCAGAGGAACGCCCTGGAGAGACATGGTGGTGATTCTTAAAGGCCCAGGGGTAGGCTTTCCAGGCTTGGGTCAGCCCATCAAAAGGGCCACCACTGACAGACTTGATAAGTGGGAAAATAGCCTTTCCCCAGCTGCAGAGTCAGGCCAACCTTTCCCATCCAGCACCTTCCTTGGCTCTCCCTGGACTCTCCCTGGGGCCCACACATTAGCCACCTACAGAGTCCCCAGTCTGCAGGCAGCTTCAGACTGCAGATCACACGCAGAAGGGTCTGGGTCCTGGGGAGTTACGCTGCCCAGAGCTCTGGGTAAGGCACACTGGGACCATATCCAAAGCCTACTGTGCTGGGGCAGAGGCTCGTGGTCTTCCTGGGACTGTGGTTTTCCTCTTTGCAACTTGGCATTTGCCATTTGGAATTCATAGAAATTCTACTTTGCTTCCATTTGGTCCATAGAGACAGAAAATTGGCAAAACACCATGAAAACTTGTTGCTTATCTCATGGAGGCCCTCGGGGGCCTCTGCACCCCATCCTACCTGCATACACAACACCTGAGATGGTAGGAGTACATGTGGCATGGCGGGGGCCAGGGAGCAGGTTTCATGGCCTCTCCCTCAGAGGATCCGTTCTTACCTGGACGCACAGCTCTGGGTCAGGTTGGTAGGAAGTATGACAGTGCAGATGCCCCTAGCCTGTGTGTATGTCAGGACAGCCCAGCTGCTCTTGGGCCCACCATGGCTGAGGCCATTACCTCTGTGAGTGGGACTTCCTTAGGGTTTCCTTTCACCCTAGAGGTGAGGCCGCTCCAGTGGGCAATGTCTCAGACCTGATGGACATGCAGGCTGCCAGGCCTCGGAGTCGGGGCAGGGCACGTTGAGCCCTTCTAGATGCATCCAGAAGGTCTGTTTTGTGTTAGGACTAGTAAAATGTCCAGATCAGAGCCAGGGAGAGCTGTGTAGGAGTTGGCTGTCTCCAGCGAGTGAGTTTGTCTCAGTGTGGGGCACAGCCAGGTGCACTGGAGCCCACCCAGCGGCCTTCCCTGAGCAGTGCTGGGTGCAGCTGAAAGCTGTCCTGGCCAGGCGAGGGAGATCAGCTCAGTCCTGTCTGCACTGTAGCTCAGAGAAAGCAGAAGCAGAGGAAGGCCTGTGGACAGTGGGCTGCAGGGAGGGACCCAGTTCTTGAGACCCAGGCCGGGAACTTCTCCAGATATCCCTGAGGTGCTGAATCCTGCTCAGTCTGCATACACAACAGACATGCACCCGAAACAGCCAGCCAGTGTCTGCAGGCATGGGACAGTGCTCTTGGCTTCCTCATGGAAGACTTCTGCAGAGCATATCTGCCTCAGGCTGCCGACCAGATATGGAACTCGCACACAACCGCTAGTTCCTCTGACAGCTGAAAAATCCAGTAACATCATCTGTATTTTGGATGTACCCCGCCTCCTCCCTGGGTCCACCCTGGCACCCCCAGCACCCACACATGGCACAGAAGCAGGCTGGCCTACTCACTTTTGATTTGGAAGTTATTACATGTAACTAGCAGATGTCACCCACCCAGGCCGGGAACTTGTCCCATTGTGTGCAGACCTGCAAGGGTGTGGTGGTGATCCAAGATTGTGCCTTCACGGTGTTCTCAGTGGGCTTCATGTCTCCAAAACATGTCCCACTGCTCTGCATCACAGGACAGGTCTGCCTGTGCATGGCCTGGTCAGCCTGGTGAAGGCCATGCCGAGGTCATTAGCACCCCAGGAGAGATTCCGGGCAAACCTGTTGAGTGAATATGGAAGCTCCCCCTAGGGAGAGGAGGCCTTGCGTGTTGGTGGCACGTCATGGGTAGGATCAGAGCACAAGGGCTTCCCACCTGCGCCACCTCCCTTCTCTTCAGGGAGTTATGGGCCTGACCTTGTCCCTATGTAGACACTGCCATGGGAGGTAGGTTGCCGATCTGAGAAGAGCAGTGTGGGGTGTGCTGCCAGTGGGTGGACGCAGGGATGTACCAGCACAGATGCAGAGAACCCTGCAGACCAGACGCCTGATGGGTGACTGTGGTCTGGGATCTGCTGAAGTGTAGGTTGTTTTCTTGGTGCTTCTTCAAGCTGCTGGCCCTGAGCTGACACCGTCTGCTGGTTTCGCTTCACCTGCAGACGTGCCAGTGACACCTGTAGGACTTGCTGACCAGGGGATGAGGCATCACTGCATTTGTCAGATTGTAGGCAGACCAAGAGGCTGGCACTAGAGTTCAGGTTCTTTCTGGAATTTTCTTCCTTTCCACTGCATCAAGTGTTTCAAAACTAGTTGGTGGTGGCAGCAGCAGCCTGCAGTGTTTGGGGTTTTGCCCATGAGTTTGACGTGGGTAGATGTGGCCAGGTGTTTGCCTGCCTACAGGCTTGTCACATAAAACACAAATCAGCATTTTCAGCACGTCACAAATTTAGTTTTTAAAAAAGCAGTCTAAAATACTTTTCGAAGAAAACTAGGGTGGGCAGAGTCTCCTTGAGAAGATGACAGCACATTCATGGGGCCTTTCATGGCAAACAGCAAGGAGAGAGAGTTCCTGGGAGTGGAGCTGGGAAACAACTAAGACCATTCTCTTGCCCAGAGACCATTCTCTTGTCCAGTGACCAGCAGACATGGAACCCAGTAAGCCCATTTTTTACAGATGTCGCCGACTTCTCCAGGGTCAACACCGGCCGAGGGAGACAGTGAATTCCTGAGGAGAGGGGCTTCTTGATGTGCTGAGTGGACAGGAGGGGCAACTCCCCAGAGGAGAGTATCAGGGACTCACGTCTCCCAGAACATCCCCCTTCTCCAGGTCAGACCTGCTGGGCCACACTGCCCTTTGCACCCCTCGGCCTAGAAACCCGAACCGATGTTGGCCCTGCACAGGGACTTCCCTCTAACCTAAGGGGCAGCTAGAGGATCATTCAGAGTAACCTCACTCCCAACCTGTTGACAAGAAGGCAGCTGGCTAGGATGAGGAGGCAGGCTTCCATGCTCCTGACTCGTGACTTCAGGGGTGTCTTTTCTCTCCCTCATCCCAGCCTCTTTTAAGACACAAGGCACATGACTTCTGTTTGAGGCTGACAGGGTATTTTGTAGTGGGTAAGATGAGTGCAAGGCTTGCTTGTTACAAGGAGGCAGAGATGGAAACAGCCGGGGCTGTTGCATGGTCTCTTGTTAGTGCTCTGTGTTGATGCCTTCAGATGCCTCCAGCTCAGTCCATGTTGTGGTACTGCAAGGCTGGTACACTCCTCGGAGCACCATGGCATGAAATGGAGGTTCCTAGAAGCAAGAAGAAAGGTACAGTACTGATAAGTTGGCCTTGATTTATGTATGTATTTTTAAACTGTGTCTGCCATGTTATATTTTCACTGTTTGTTTGGAGGAGGGATGGGGAAGGTGGAGCCTGACTGCAGACACGTGTATTTAATAGAGACCTGACCCGTGTGAGCAGGTCATCGGTGCCAAGCTGTCCCACCGCATTCGTATGTGGCATGACGTCTGGGAGGCCCCAGAGAGGTGCCTGGCGTGAGTGAGTGTTGGTGGAGGCTCAGACTTAGCCGATTCGGTGATGTGCAAATGGTCTCACAGTTACTGCTGGGCGGTGAGTGGGTAGTAGAAATGCTCTCACCACTGTGGCTTCTCCTGCTCACAGACCTTCCTCTTGTGCTGCAAGCTGTTGGGGGACACAGGGGCTCTGAAACAGTAGGTAAGGCTCAGAGGATGCTGTAGTGTGAAACCTCCCTGCCTCTCTCCTTCGCCCACCTCACAGAGAAGCAGGGTCCTGAGCGGAAGAGGATTAAGAAGGAGCCTGTCACCCGGAAGGCTGGGCTACTGTTTGGCATGGGGCTTTCTGGAATCCGAGCAGGCTACCCCCTGTCCGAGCGCCAGCAAGTGGCTCTTCTCATGCAGATGACAGCCGAGGAGTCTGCAAATAGCCCAGGTGAGCCCCAGGACCATGAGGTCCCAAGTCAGGGAGGGCAAGGGCTCCGCTTGGTCATAGCCTTTTTGCAGCTGTGCTCCCCTGGGACAGGCCCTCGCAAGAGTATTTCCTTCACTCACGACAGTGGCCTGGAGCCATCTCCAGTAATGCCCGCCTGTCCCCTCCTTGACCCACAGTAGACACAACACCAAAGCACCCCTCCCAGTCTACCGTGTGTCAGAAGGGAACGCCCAACTCTGCCTCAAAAACCAAAGATAAAGTGAACAAGAGAAACGAGCGAGGAGAGACCCGCCTGCACCGAGCCGCCATTCGTGGGGACGCCCGGCGCATCAAGGAGCTCATCAGTGAGGGGGCAGACGTCAACGTTAAGGACTTTGCAGGTAAGTGCTCCCTGCGCCCCATGAGAGCTGTCCCTTTGGGTCAGATGTGCTGCCCTGTAGTGTGCGTCAGGCCCCCAGGGCCAGAAACCCAGGGCTGCCAGGCTCTGGGCAATGCACAATACCTGTACAAATGTAGGATACCTGTGCAGACGCAGGAATATACCAGTGTAACTCGCAGCTACTGAAGAGAAATTAGTATTTCCAAGAATTTGTTCATTTTCTTGGTTTTCATTATTTTTACGAGAACTGAGGAATTTAAATTTTCCACTTTGCTATGTTTCATAAACCCCAATTCTAGGCACCTGGAGGACCTTGTCTCTGGCATGTGTAGGCCACATCCTCCAGCAGGGGGCGCCTCCATGCCAGGAGCCCGGTGCTCAGAGGCACACACTGTGCCTTAGGGGAGGACACCCCTCACCACGCGTGCTTCAGTCCCGAAGCTTGCCCGGGAGCAGAGAACACTGGCAGCTTACCTTGTGAGCCTCAGACCTGATGTGGGCCCGTGCGTCTTTGTATTTTGACGTCCTGTGATCAGAGTTCCTGTTGCCCTTCTTTGCATAAAATACCCCCCATGCACGCTATTCTGCCCACACATTCCAGAGCCGTCTGTTCACAGTGAGGATGTGAGATGAGTGAGGCAGTCTTCATGGAGAACCCTTCTAGATTGTTCCCAGTGCACAGCTGTCTGACGCATGCCTAGTTTAGCACCTTTTCAAAAGCACTTTTCTAAATGAAGCTTCTCCAAAGCATGGACATTTGCTTCCACGGGGCAGACCCTGTTTCCTCATGGATGCAGGCGGCCACCTCATCTGACAGTGGGTACAAGGCCCCAGGCCAAAGCTGCCTGCCCAGGGAGGCCTTCCCCACACAGCTGAACCTGGGCACTGCTGGAGCCTCTGTTCTGAAGCCTTCAACAGGATCTCTTGGCCTCAGTTGCCCTGCTTCCGTGTCTCGATGGATGAATTAGGGGTGGGCCACTGTTGTTCACACCAAGTTTTCTGCCTTTGCTGGGTCACCACTGCAGGCTCTCCCTGGGCTGTGGGTTCTGTAGGGTTAAAGCTATTGATGTGCTAGCAAGTGTTGCCCAGTAAAGACAGTTGAGGTATACCCTGGGCTGGCGCCCGCTTCAGTACAAGACAACTCTCCCACCTTGGCCTGTGTCCCTTGACTTTGTACACAGCCTCAGAGTACCACCTGAAGAGACAGGATCGAGGATTAAATAACATATGTCCTAAGTGTCTGTTTCCAGGTTGGACAGCACTGCACGAGGCATGTAACCGGGGCTACTACGACGTCGCCAAGCAGCTGCTGGCTGCGGGCGCGGAGGTGAACACCAAGGGCCTGGATGATGACACGCCTCTGCACGACGCCGCCAACAACGGACACTACAAGGTTGGCATCTCCTCGACCTTCACACGTCTGGTCTGTCTCTGACGTCCAGCTCGTTCTGTAGCTCATGTTCCCTGTCCTAGCAGCCACCACGATGTGGAGGCCTGAGAAGTGAGGTTTTGCCTGCCCCACCTGAAAGCCCAGCCTGTGTCTGTCCCCAGCTTTGACAAGCACCATCTAAAGCACATGTGAAAAGCTCATGTACCCTGGCAATGTGGGTCGGGGTGGATTTTAGCATTTATCCACGTGGATAGAAGGAGGCTCACAGGGGTTGCTGCTGTGGGGCTAGTAGACCTGCAGGGGCTGTCCGAGTCTGGGATGGGTCATGCCAGGAGCTGTAGCCAGCACAGGATGACAGACTCAAGATTAGGGAAATGACCACGTAGTCAGCCCTGGAGCAGTGAGCACAGAGAGGATGCAGCCTCCACGAGGAAGAGTGCCTTCAGGTCTGAAACAGCAGGCGCACAGAGGTGGTAAGGGTCTTACCAGAACCATTACCCGAGACCCAGGAAAGGGCTCCTTACCACAGGTGGGACAGTCCAAGTGTGATAAGGGTGACAAGGCCGGTGGGCCACCTCTTCTTAAATTCATGGTGCTCCTTTATGGCAACCCCTGCCTGGCCATCCTGGAAGATGCCAGAACCCGCAGCATCTAGGATGCAAAGAGCATAGTCAGGAGATGACAAGTCACTGTGGGGGAAGGAAAGCCCTGGGGACTCTGAATTAAGGATTTCAGACACACGGGAAATCCGTGCACTGATGACACATTGATATTTTTAAATTGCTGTTAAATTTTTAGGTAAGCTTAAGGACCCTTTGAGAGAAGTGTACTGAAAAGTTTATGCAGAGTGAGTCTGGTTTTGATACGCAGTACTGGAGGGTGGGCAGCTGTGAGTGGCATGAGATGGGCTAAGGGCTAGGGGCCGTCCTCTGAATCTTTCGACTTCTGTAATGATCACTTTAAAAATTCTTATTATGGAGGATATCAGAGACCCAAAAAATGTGGTGAGGTAGACAAGTTAATGGTCATAAGACGTTGTGTTGTGACCCCTGTGGGTGTGTTTTCTCCCATGAGGAGATTATCCTGGGTTATCTAAGCAGACCCAGGGCAACCCCCGGGGTCTTGAAGCTTGGGAGCCTTTCCTGGCAGGGTCAAAGAGACACAGAAGAAGCAGGAGAGATGAAAAGCCCAAAGATAGACCCAGCCTGTGGTGCTGGCCTTAGAGGAAGAGGCTGAGGAATGTGGTGACCCCTAGCAGCTGGGCATGGGGACCTCAGGCCTAGCACAGTGAGGACCAGTTTTGCCAACACCCCGTGATGGCGGAAGCGAAGGAGCTAGTCCTGCCAGCACTTTGACCGTAGCGAGTCAGGGAGCCTGAGTTTGGACTGCTGAACTTGAAAGTTACGAGACTGAGGTTGTGATCTGTCATGATAGCAACAGAATACACACACAAACCTTGTGCTGACAGGACAATATCACATGTGATCCACTAAAGAAATAGGGTGAGGGACAAAGAGTTTATTTTAAGCTTTATTACATATTATTTTTATGCTCTCATCTCAGACTGGACTACAGTTGAGATTCAGTTTAACATTTGCACTCGAGTTCAGTGAGTTGCTGACCTGAGCATATAAAACACAGGTTGCTGAAGAGGAACAGTTGGACAGAGCTGTGGAAATGTCAGCATGGATGTTTCTGTCATTCACATGACCACCCTTACCCATGTAAAATCAAGCAAGGAAGAAATTATCTAATGTAAATGAAAATTAAAAATAAACCAGCTTGCAGAAACTTGGTCTTTGTTTCCTCTATTCTGCCCCCACCCCATAAAAAAACTTCCTTCTAAGCTGCCAGAACTCTCCACAACCACTCCCAGGACCCTACACTGCTACTGAGTGTGTTGGTGGGAGGGAAGGCCTCGTGAGAAGATGCGGGGCCCAGCATCGCAGAGAAGTGGAGAAAACATGGAAGCAGCAGAGCACGCGAGGCACACCCTGGAGGGTGTGGAGACCCACTGTGCAACCTTCGCAGGAGGAGGAGGGGCCATGCTGAGCCCCTGGGGCTCCCTGGTGGTCACTTGCATACTCTGCCACATGCTTGGACCACGAAGGGCTGTTTTGGGGTTCAGCTCCAGGGTTCTTGGAATGGGATGCAGTTCATACAGAAATGACAGAGAAGTGGCATTTCTAAGTCGCCTGATGCCATTGCTGATGTTTTGTAGGTGGTGAAGTTGTTGTTACGGTACGGAGGAAATCCTCAGCAAAGCAACAGGAAGGGTGAGACGCCGCTGAAAGTGGCCAATTCCCCCACCATGGTGAACCTCCTGTTAGGCAAAGGCACATACACATCCAGTGAAGAGAGCTCGACTGGTAAGTCCTGCCACTGGGATTGCCAGGTGTGCACTGGGGGAGGGAAGCTTTCTCTTATGGCATAGATGGCAGGAACAGCCCTTGAGCACTATACAGTGTTGCGTCTGAAAATAGACACACGAGGTCCCCTGGCCTCCAGATATCTGGCACTTACAGGAGCTTCTGGACTGTGGAGCTGCCCCACCCAGGGCGTCATTCCCGAGAAGCCTGCAGTCTCACTTGAGATGCCAACCTGTCTTGGAGCAGAACGCTCTGGTTTCCTTCTGCCCATGGTTGGCCTGAAACTTAACTCAGTCGCATGAAGGTCTTCTCTGGAAGCAGGGTGGAGCCACCTCCCTCCCCACTCAGTAGCTAGGCATTTGGGGAGGCCTTTCTGCAGGGCCATTTCAGGGAGAGCTGTCTTGACCTGCCTTGACCTTTCCTTCCTGCTCCTACAGAGAGCTCCGAGGAAGAGGACGCCCCATCGTTCGCACCTTCAAGCTCCGTTGATGGCAACAACACAGACTCTGAGTTTGAGAAGGGCCTCAAGCACAAGGCCAAGAACCCAGAGCCACAGAAAACCGTGACCCCTGTCAAGGATGAGTATGAGTTCGACGAGGACGATGAGCAGGACCGAGTCCCTCCCGTGGATGACAAACACCTGCTAAAAAAGGACTACAGGAAAGAAACTAAGTCCAATAGTTTTATTTCCATACCCAAAATGGAAGTTAAAAGTTACACTAAAAATAACACAATCGCACCAAAGAAAGCATCCCATCGCATCTTGTCAGACACATCTGATGAGGAGGACACAGGTCTAGCCGTGGGCTCGGGGGAGAAGCTGAGGCTATCGGCGCACACATTGCTGCCCAGTAACAAGACGCGTGAGCCTTCTGCCGCCAAGCAGCAGAAGGAGAAAAGCAAAGTGAAAAAGAAGCGAAAGAAGGAAGCAAAGGGCAAAGAAGTGCGGTTTGGGAAAAGGAACGACAAGTTCTGCTCTTCAGAGTCAGAGAGCGAGTCCTCAGACAGCGACGAGGACGACCGGGACTCTGTGGGCAGCTCCAGCTGCCTCAAGGAGTCCCCGCTGGTGCTGAAGGACCCTTCCCTGTTCAGCTCCCTGTCCGCCTCCTCCACCTCATCCCACGGGAGCTCTGCCGCCCAGAAGCATAACCCCAACCACACAGACCAGCACGCCAAGCACTGGCGTACAGACAACTGGAAAACCATCTCCTCCCCCGCTTGGTCAGAGGTCAGCTCCTTATCAGACTCCACAAGGACGAGACTGACAAGTGAGTCTGATTACTCCTCTGAGGGCTCCAGTGTGGAGTCGTTGAAGCCAGTGAGGAAGAAGCAGGAGCACAGGAAGCGGGGTGGGCTGCAGGGTGCCCTGTCCGAGAAGAAGAACTCCTTCCACTCTGGCGTGGACGGTGCCATTCCCAAGCTGGACAGAGAGGGGAAGGTTGTCAAAAAACACAAAACAAAGCATAAGCACAGAAACAAGGAGAGGGGGCAGTGCTCTGTTAGCCAGGAACTGAAACTGAAAAGTTTCACTTACGGATACGAGGACTCCAAGCAGAAGTCAGATAAGGCAATACTCCTTGACAATGACCTTTCCACCGAAAACAAGCTAAAGGTATTAAAGCATGATCGAGACCATTTTAAAAAGGAAGAGAAATTTAGCAAAATGAAATCAGAAGAGAAGGAATGGCTCTTCAAAGATGAGATCATAAAGGTCAAAGATGAAAAGCCTCTCAAGAGAATCAAAGACATGAACAAAGACATCAGCAGGACTTTCCGAGAAGAGAAAGACCGTTTGAATAAAGCAGAAAAGGAGAAGTCAGTGAAGGAAAAGTCTCCAAAAGAGGAAAAACTGAGACTATACAAAGAGGAAAGAAAGAAAAAGTCAAAAGACCGGCCCTCAAAATTAGAGAAAAAGAATGATTTAAAGGAGGACAAAATTTCCAAAGAGAAGGAGAAGATGTTTAAAGAAGATAAAGAAAAACTCAAAAAAGAAAAAGTTTATAGGGAAGATTCTGCTTTTGATGAATATTGTAACAAAAGTCAGTTTCTGGAGAATGAAGACACCAAGTTCAGCCTTTCTGACGACCAGCAGGACAGGTGGTTCTCAGACTTGTCCGACTCATCCTTTGACTTCAAAGGGGAGGACAGTTGGGACTCTCCGGTGACAGACTACAGGGATCTGAAAAACGACTCTGTGGCCAAACTCATCCTGGAGACAGTGAAGGAGGACAGCAAGGAGAGGAGGAGAGACAGCAGGGCCCGGGAGAAGCGGGACTATAGGGACGCCTTCTTCCGAAAGAAGGAGAGGGACTATGTGGACAAGAACGCCGAGAAGAGGAAGGACCAGGCTGAGAAGCACAAGGGCATCCCGAGCTATCTTTCTGAAAAGGACAAAAAGAGGAGAGAGTCTGCAGAGGGCGGGCGGGACCGGAAAGACGCCCTGGAGAGCGCCAAGGAGCGGAAGGATGGCAGGGCAAAGCCCGAGGAGGCGCATAGGGAGGACCTGAAGGAGCACGGCTGTGAGGGCATCTTCAAGGACAAAGCCGACTGTGACTTTGGGAAGAGCCTGGAGCTGTGGGAGAGGCACCACCCTGCGAGAGAGAAGGAGAAGAAAGATGGCCTCGACAGGGAGAGGAAGGAGAAAGCCAAGGCAGAAAAATACAGAGACAAGTCCAACGACAAAGACAAGAGTGAAAAGGCTGCCCTTGAAAAAGGTCTGAAGGACAAAGAATTTGATAAATGTTTCAAGGAGAAGAAAGATACCAAGGAAAAGCATAAAGACATACATGGCAAAGACAAAGAAAGAAAGACATCTCTTGACCAAGGGAAGGAGAAGAAGGAGAAGACTTTCCCTGGAATTATCTCAGAAGACTTCTCTGAAAAAAAAGATGAAAAAAAAGGCAAAGAGAAGAGCTGGTATATTGCAGATATATTCACAGATGAAAGTGAGGATGACAAAGATGATTACATGGCGAGCGGATTCAAGATCGCAGAGGCCAGCGACTTGCCAAGGGTGGACAGCCTCCAGGAGAAGGAGGACGGGAGGGAGCCCTGTGCCTCAGACAAGCACAGGAAGTCCTCTTCTGACAAGCAGCACTCTGACAGGCAGAAGGAGAAGGAGCCCAGGGACAAAAGGAAGGACCGGGGGACTGCGGAAGGGGGGAAGGACAAGAAAGACAAAGTCTTTGAGAAGCACAAAGAGAAGAAGGAGAAGGAGGCCACAGACAAATATAAGGACAGGAAAGACAGAACTTCAGTGGACTCCACTCAAGAAAAGAAAAACAAACAGAAGCTCCCTGAGAAGACTGAGAAGAAACACTCTACTGAGGACAAGGCTAAAGGCAAGCACAAAGAGAAGGCAGACAGAGAACATTCCAAGGAGAGAAAGTCTTCGAGAAGTGCAGAGATGGAAAAGAGCTTGCTGGAGAAATTGGAAGAAGAAGCTCTCCATGAGTACAGAGAGGACTCCAATGACAAAATAAGTGAGGTCTCGTCCGACAGCTTCACTGACCGGGGCCAGGACCCGGGACTGAGCCTCCTGGAGGTCTCCTTCACGGAACCGGCCGTGGAGGACAAGGTCAAGGAGAGCGCCTGCCTCCCGGAGAAGTCGAAAGAGAAGGAGCGGCACAGGCACTCCTCGTCCTCATCCAAGAAGAGCCACGAGCGCGAGAGAGCCAAGAAAGACAAGGCCGAGAAAAAGGAGAAGGGCGAGGACTACAAGGACGGCAGCAGGAAGGACTCTGGCCAGCATGAGAAGGACTTTCTGGAGGCCGAGGCCTACGGCATGTCGTACAGCACAAAGGCAGATGTGGAGGATGACCTGGACAAAACCATCGAGCTGTTTTCTGCCGAAAAGAAAGATAAAAGTGATCCTGAAAGAGAGCCTTCCAAGAAAATAGAGAAAGAGCTGAAGCCCTTTGGGTCCAGCACCGCCAGCATCCTGAAGGAGAAGAGGAGGCGGGAAAAGCACCGTGAGAAGTGGAGGGAGGAGCGGGACAAACACAGGGACAAGCATGCAGACGGGCTCCTGCGCCACCACAAGGATGAACAGAAGCTTGCGGCCAGGGACAAGGACAACCCCCCGAACTCATGCAAGGACAAGTCCAGGGACGAGGCCAAGCTGAAGGAGAGGCTCAAGGAGAGCACAGAGAAGGAGAAAGGCGACTCGGGGAGGGGTGGCAATGGCAGCGAGAAGTCGGTGCCAGCCCGAGACCCGGGCAGGAGGGATGGCCGGCCCCGTGAGAAGCTGCTAGGCGACGGCGACCTGATGATGACCAGTTTTGAGCGCATGCTCTCCCAGAAGGACCTGGAGATCGAGGAGCGGCACAAGCGGCACAAGGAGAGGATGAAGCAGATGGAGAAGCTGCGGCACCGGTCTGGAGACCCCAAGCTCAAGGAGAAGGCCAGGCCGACGGACGACACACGCAAGAAGAGCCTGGACGTGCCTCCCAAGAAGCCGCTGGGGCTGGATCCCTCCTTCAAAGACCGGAAGCTCAAGGAGTCGGTGCCTACGCCACCTGCCACCGAGAACAAGCTCCACGCGGGACCAGGCACAGAACCCAAAGACTGGTTGGCGGGGCCACCCATGAAAGAAGTCCTGCCTGCATCGCCCAGGCCCGACCACAGCCGGCCCACGGGTGTGCCCACACCCACGTCAGTGGTGTCCTGTCCCAGCTACGAGGAGGTGATGCACACACCCCGGACCCCGTCCTGCAGCGCCGACGACTACTCCGACCTCATGTTCGACTGCGCAGACTCACAGCACTCGCTGCCTGTCTCTGCCACATCCACCAGCGCCTGCTCCCCCTCCTTCTTCGACAGGTTCTCCATGGCCTCCAGTGGGCTCACAGAAAATCCTGGCCAGACCCCCACCAGGCCCCTCTCCACCAGCCTCTACCGCTCCATCTCCGTTGACATCAGGAGGACCCCCGAGGAGGAGTTCAGTGTCGGGGACAAGCTCTTTCGACAGCAGAGCGTGCCCACTGCGTCCAGCTATGAGTCCCCAGCACAGCACCTGATGGAGGACAAGGGCCCTCTGCCTCCCGCACCGACGGACAAGTTTGCCTGCCTGTCCCCGGGCTGCTACTCTCCCGACTATGGCATCTCCTCGCCCAAGGTCGACACTCTTTACTGCCCACCCACGGCAGCCGTTACCGTCACTCCATCCCCAGACGGCGTCTTCTCCAGTTTACAGGCCAAGTCCTCCCCTTCTCCCCGAGGTGAGCTGCTAGCACCTTCCCTGGAAGGGGCCCTGCCCCCAGACCTGGACACCACCGAGGACCAGCAGGCCACGGCCGCCATCATCCCTCCGGAGCCCAGCTACCTGGAGCCTCTGGATGAGGGCCCATTCAGCACCGTCATCACTGAGGAGCCCGTCGAGTGGGCCCACGCTGCCCACCCTGCCGAGCAGGCCCTGTCTGCCGCCTTGATCGGGAGTGCCTCCGAGAGCCCTGCCAGCTGGCCTGTGGGCTCGGACCTTCTCCTCAAGTCTCCTCAGCGGTTCCCAGAGTCTCCAAAGCACTTCTGCCCCACTGAGTCCCTCCACCCGCCCGCCCCAGGGCCCTTCAGTGCCCCAGAGCCCCCGTACCCCGTCTCTCCTGCTACATACTCTCTGCCTGTCGCCGAGCCAGGACTGGAGGAAGGCAAAGATGATGGGGTGGAAGCAATCCCCGTCCCCGGGGCCAAAGAGGAAGCTGCTCCCTATGCCCCTGCCTCCAGACTGGAGTCCTTCTTCAGCAACTGCAAGTCACTTCCAGACACAGCGCTCGATGTGGTCCCTGAGCCTGCGTGCATAGCCACCGTGGCCCAGGTGGAGGCACTGGGGCCCCTGGAGAGCAGCTTCCTGGACAGCAGTCACAGCCTGTCCACCCTTGGCCAGGTGGAGCCGGTGCCCTGGGCCGATGCCTTCCCCACCTCCGAGGACGACCTGGACCTGGGACCCTTCTCACTGCCAGAGCTTCCTCTTCAGGCCAAGGACGTTTCTGATGTTGAAGCAGAACCTGTAGAAGAAAGTCTTACAGCTCCGGAAAAGATTCCCCCAGGGGTCCCCATGGCCATTGGCGGTGGGGACCTCTCTTTATCTGCTGCTGAGGAGCAGCCGGCACCACCTCCTGCCCCAGTGTCCCCCCACCCTCCCCTGGAGCCTGAGCCCGAGCCCTCCGAGGAGCCAAGGCTGGACGTGGCTCCGGAAGCCTCAGTGGAGGCAGAGATGGCATCAGAGGAGAGGGCCCCCGGGGATGCAGACCCCAGCACAGAACCTGGGCCCGGGCCCCCTGAACAGCACCCACCGAGGGGTGGAGACCAGGGGCCCGAGGTGGAAGACTCCCCTCCCATGTCCCACTGTGCACCCCCGGGCCCTCCTGCAGATGGCACAGCCCAGACTGGGGATGGCGCCCAGGACAGTGCTGGGGTCTCCCGGGCCACCGCTCCTGCTGAGGGCCCCCCAGGCGGCGTCCAGACAGAAGCTGTAGAACCAGAACCCAAACCCACAGTTGACGCCCCGAAGGCCCCCAAAGTGGAGGAGATCCCACAGCGCATGACCAGGAACCGTGCGCAGATGCTGGCCAACCAGAGCAAGCAGAGCACACTGCCCTCTGAGAAGGAGCTCGTCCCCGCCAGTGCCCCAGTCACCAGAGCCAAGGGCCGCGTCTCCGAGGATGACGATGCTCAGGCCCAGCACCCACGCAAGCGCCGCTTCCAGCGCTCCAGCCAGCAGCTGCAGCAGCAGCTGCACACATCCACGCAGCAGACGCGGGAGGTGATCCAGCAGACACTGGCCGCCATCGTGGATGCCATCAAGCTGGATGACATCGAGCCCTATCACAGCGATCGGTCGAACCCGTACTTTGAGTACCTGCAGATCAGGAAGAAGATCGAGGAGAAACGCAAGATCCTGTGCTGCATCACGCCCCAGGCACCCCAGTGCTACGCTGAGTATGTCACCTACACAGGCTCTTATCTGCTGGACGGCAAGCCGCTCAGCAAGCTCCACATCCCCGTGGTGAGTATGCCGGCTCAGCGCAGGGCCGTGCGGGTGGGGCGTGGTCCCGGGACCGGCTGCGGGCTTCTCCACGTTGACCTAGCCGCCGCGTTCTTCCTTGTCCCGCCATCTGTGACAGCCCGCACACCCTCCTCACCCCACACCCGCCTGACCTGTTCGAGTAACTGCAGCCTGGTGTGTGCTGTGCTGGTAGAAGCTATGTGGCTCCTCCATAGATCCAAAGCTGATCTGTGGCCTAGACTGGCCCTGGTCTCCCAGACGACACTCACTGGGGGGGCTCCCCCTCCCCACAGCTCCCTGTTGACTCTGTGTGTGTGTGTGTGTGTGTGTGTGTATGTTTTTGAGTCAGAGTCGTATTGTCGCCTAGGCTGAAGTGCAGGGGCATGCTCACAGCCACCACAGCCTTGACCTCCTGGGCTCAGGGGATCCTTCTGCCTCAGCCTTCTAAGTAGCTGGAAGCACAGGCACATGCCACCACACCTGCTAATTTTTTAATTTATTGTAGAGACGAAGTCTCACCAAGTTGCCCAGGCTGGTGTTGAACCCCTGGGTTCAGGCAGTCCTTTACCTTTGCCTCCCAAAGTGCTAGGATTATAGGAGTGAGCCACTGCACCCGACTACCCTGTTGACTCTCAACTCACGGGGAAGGCCCCAGCAGAGGTGTCGCCCCCACCCCCTCTCCCTTGAGCCCTTGGGGTGCCTATGTGTCTCAGGGCCCCCCTCCTTCCTCAGCTTCTGGGATGCCTGTGCTGCTTCCCGGGGCAAGCCTGTCCTTGGTCCCTTGCCTGCTCCCCCTGTGGCCCTCCTCTGCCTGGCCCTGCCTTAGATCCTTCTAACCTGGCCTCTGTGGACTGCCCCCCCCGCCTGGGCTCCTGCCTCCTCCTGGCCGTGGGGTCTGTCCCAGCAGGCACAGGGTTCCTCACGGATGCCCAAGATGCACCCTCACAGCTTCAAGCACTCCATCGGCAGTATTCTCCTGGCCCTTCCTTGGCATTCCATAACACGTGACCCTGTCCACACTGCATGCGGACTGTTTGTTGACCGTCTAGTCCTTGAGGACAAGTCATTTCTTCTGTTGCATCCCGAAAGGGCTCTCAGTCACAGCTGTCAGGGATGTGGGAAAGGCCTGGGCACCCAGATGCCCACGGTGGACCAAGGCCCCTGGGAGGGCACTTGAGTCCTGCAAGAAGGGTGCACCGTGAGTGTTGGCTCTGTCGGGCCTGGCCCTTCTGCAAGCCATTTCCTGCACTGGCTCATACTGGAGCCACCTGCAGCCCTCCCACAAAGGAGAGGTTCCGCAGAAGGCCCAGGGGCCGGTCCGGTGCTGTGCTGCTCACCAGAGATGCATCCTCATGTCACACAACCTGCTCTGAACTAACCAGAACATCCAGGGTCCTGTTTTTTTCTCCTGGTGCCGTGACCCCACTGTCCCTAGGGATACCTGTTTGCAGGAGACATGGCAGTTTAGGCCATGAAATTCAGGAAAATCTGTTGTAAGATTTCTACTCCGTAAGACTTTTTGTACTTTTTGTTTCCGTCAGTTTAGGTTTTAGTTGTCAAAACAGTAATATGTCTGTCATGGAAAATTTGGGAAATATCACAGAGATGAAATGAAAGAGTGCCGGAGCCTCTGTCACCCAAGTTTCCCTGGGAAGGTTTTGTGCATCTCCCACTGGTCTCCCTGATTTCCCTGAAGACCATCAGATGACACCTGGCAAGAGCCCGGCTTGATATCTCGTGTGGTGGCTGTGACTGGGGTGTGGTCTTCCCGGGTGGCCATAGCCCTGGTGGGTTCTCAAGGGTCAAGCCAGAGGGAGTGCGGCGCACCCATCCTTGCCTTGGTGTGAGCCCCCTTCCCTGGCGGTCTCACCTTAGAGGCACCGCACAGAGCCGAAACCCTATACCCAGGACCTCTACAGAGCTGGGCCTCTTGAGGCAGTGTGGACATGGTGGTGAACAGATTGAGTGGGACAGGCAAGTGCTGGCTGGGGAGACTTGGCTGAATTTTTTAATTGCTCATTTTTAACTAACTTTAGACTGATGTAATGTGTGCCTGTCCTCAGCCTTGCCTGAGGTCCCCCGTGAACCGCAGGGGTGATGGAGTTCCGTTGTATGCCCGATGTTTGAGCAGTATTGCTCAGCTATCTGGTCAGAGGTTCCACAACTGGACTGAGGTGACACCTCTTTAGTGAGAAACCCCCAGGTGTGCCCTGGAGCATTGCATCGTGTTCCTGGTGTCACGGGAGACATGAGTTGGAGGCCTGGCCCGGCAGGGTGTGCAGGCCTCTCCACAGGGAGCTCTGGTCTTCTCTTCTGTGGCTAGTGTGTGTCTCTGGAAGAGGTGTGAACTCGTGGTGTGAACCTGCTTCTCCTCACTTCCGTCTGCTCCTTGTCTTGTGTGTGATGGAGCGTGTCTGCAGCATACTTCCCTAGGCATCACCCAGTGCCAGGACATCCCTCCCCCCCGGCATGGCGCCTGAGGTCACTGCTGGAGCAAGGCCTTCCGGCATGAGCCACATCCCAGCGCTGGCTGCAGTCAGGCCGTCCTGCAGGCTGCCGCTCCTTCAGGCTGCTGCATCCTTGGCGTTCTCATCTCTCCTGGTGCTCTTGCTTTCTGACTCCGCAAGCTCTTCCAGCTGATCATGACCTTCCTGCCTGCCCTATATCATGCAGGGGGCCCCATAGAGACCCACCCCATAGGTTGCAACCTTCCTCCCATTGCTAATCTGTTCTCCTTCTCCGTGGGTAGGTGTGGTTCTTGCCCTTTGCCACACATGTGCTGTGTGCTTACTCCCAGCCCACGTGTTTTAGAGTCGCTAACCCACCGGGAGAAACTCTTCCACAGACAGTGTGTGGCTGATGCGCAGTCCTGACCCTCAATTCTCATGGCCTACTCCACGGGGACTGGACACTCCAGGAGCCCTGCTAGGCTCCATGGTCACATTGTGTTCCTGGTATCACCGCATCCTGGCTGGCTCTGGCTGACGGGGGTGACTCCCTTGTGAACCTGCCCACCAGGTCCTCCTCTCCCTGCCAGGCCCTCTTCTGATTGTCTTGCCTCTTTTGGACACATGGGTGCTGGCACTTGGGTTTTATCCCGTCTCCTTTGCATGAAGGGCATGGACCACAGTCTCCCATGCAGTCGTGTGGTGCTTGTGGGCCGCCGCAGTGACGCACCAGCACCGTTGGTCGCACATAGGCTGTTTCCTGGAGCCTTCTGCTGCATCTGTGTGGACCTGAGGGGTCTGGGGCAGGCTTCCAGAAGTGGGAGGCTGGAACCTGCCCAGACTTCACTGCGTCCCTCTGCAGTTTGCGGGCCTGCTGACCCCCACCCTCTGCCTGCAGATTGCACCCCCTCCCTCCTTGGCGGAGCCTCTGAAGGAGCTGTTCAAGCAACAGGAGGCCGTCCGTGGGAAACTGCGTCTGCAGCACAGCATTGAGCGGGTAAGAGGGGCGCGGGCCGGGACGTGTTGTGGGCCGAGGCGCGGCGTGGGCTGGCTCACCACCTCCTGTCCTTCCCAGGAGAAGCTGATTGTGTCCTGTGAGCAGGAGATCCTGCGGGTTCACTGCCGGGCGGCCCGGACCATCGCCAACCAGGCCGTGCCGTTCAGCGCCTGCACCATGCTGCTGGACTCCGAGGTCTACAACATGCCCCTGGAGAGCCAGGTCAGTGCGCAGGAGGGGCCGGCCACACACAGGAGCAGCAGCACCGCGAGTCCAGGCCCCCAACCTGTTCGCCCCATCGTGCACCTTCACGGATTCTGCACTTGACCACGAGCGTCCTGAGCCTCCCATGCCAGCACTTTGCAGGGGCTGGAGCTTCACTCGCCCGCCCCAGCCCAGGCGAGCCCAGACAGAGCCGCAAAGGCAGGCGTGGAGGTGGATGTCCTTCGCGGTGCCTCGGTCTCTGGGGTTACTTCTGCCTCCTGAAGCACTCCTCCGCGTTAGGTGGTCGGCGGCCCCTCCTGTGGCGGCAAGGACACTGTCTCCATTTAAACTTCTGCTCAGCCTGCTGCTGCCGGGAGGCCAAAAGGCTGCTGTGGAAGGGCGGGGCAGCAGCCGAGGGGCGGGGCTGCCTGGAGTGCTCTCGCCATGCACGTGGGCTGGTCTGGGGAAGGCCGGGGCCACAGGACCCACGGCACCCACTGCCCTGCCACTGGTTTCCGCGCCATTCCTACTCCCCACTCTGGTCCTCTCCCAGGTGGCATCTTTCTGCCTGCTGGCTGCTCCCAGCCTCAGGCCCTGCGTGTGCCCCTCAGATTTGGTCCTCCCATCTGCCAGCAGCACCCTGTCCTCTGAGCCTGCCTTGCCAGGCTTTGGTCATCGGAGGCACACGCTCAGGCCCAGCAGCTGCACAGGCTGGACGCTCCTGAAACACATGCCCTCCTCTGCGTTCAGACCTCACCACTGGGTCCTCTCGCAACAGGTACCCCTGGTGACCTCCCCCCAGCATGGGCTCTTGGGCTCAGGCAACCATGAAGGGAGGATCGCGTGAGCCCAGGAGTTCAAGACCAGCCTGGGCAACAGAGCAAGACTCCATCTCTACCAAAAAATTAAAAATTGGCCGGGCATGGTGGCGTGCACCTATAATCCCAACTACTCAGGAGGCTGAGGCAGGAGGATCACTTGAGTCCAGGAGTCCGAGCCTGTGGTGAGCTATGATTGTGCCACTGCACTCCAGCCTGGGCAACAGAACAAGACCCTGTCTCAAAAAATAAAGTAAACCATCTGTAGAGAACAAGCTATGAAACCAAAGATTTTTTTGGAGACCAAGTGATTCCTTCAAGGATCAGACGTTTGGCAGTTTTGCGTTTTGCTTCTGAACTGAAAAAGAGACTAGTACTTTTTAAGTCATCTTCTGGATTGCTTCAGAATGTCAGAGGAAGTGTCCTGCTGCGGCCTTAGCCCTAAGGCCACGGGCGCAGCCGTTCCAGGAGGCGAGGCCCTGTTCGCCTGGCACCCAGGTCAGCGTTGAGCCTGCAAGTCTTCTGGAGGCTGGTTCCTGCCTCCTGCTCCCTCCCAGGGCTTCCTGTGATGCCTCTCATAAACCACAGTCCCTCACAGTGAAGACGAGGCTGCTGTGATAAGTGGATCAGGGTGGCATGTTGAGACTGGACTCCATGCAGAGCACAAGTGGGGCTGACCCTGCCACTCCTGGCCTCAGCCGGCTCCTCAGTCCTCTCACTCAAACCCTCCAAAGAAGAAAAGTTACTTCCTGTTTTTAAAGAAGGCAGACAAGCAGGGTGTGGTGGCTCACGCCTGTAATCCCAGCACTTTGGGAGGCGGAGGTGAGAGGATTGCCTGAGCCCAGGGGTTTGAGACCACCCTGGGCAACATGGCGAGACCTCGTGTCTACAATTAATTAAAAATTAACCTGGCGTGGCGCACGCCTATAGTTCCAGCTACTTGGAAGGCTGTGGCCAAAGGATCACCTGAGCCCAGCAGGTTGAGGCTGCGGTGGCCGTGAGTGTGCCACTGCACTCCAGCCTGGGTGACAGAGTAAGACTCTGACTCAAAAAAAATAAAAATGGGAATAAATAAAAAGGAAAGATATGGAGACAGGTGACATCAGCACCTTGACCCTGAGCCCAGGACACCGGCCCTGCCACTGCTGTGGTGTCTTGGGGGAGCCGTGGGGCGAGGGGCAGGCCTGGCACTCCTCGGACATGACACAGCGCATGGTTGGTGGAGGTGGTGGCAGCACGATTCTGCCCTGAGGAAGGCCATGGAGGCACCATGCAGGCACCATGTGTAGATAGCTCGTGGTCTTCTTACGAAGTCCCCGTGTTCCTTCTGCAGGGTGACGAGAACAAGTCTGTGCGTGATCGATTCAACGCCCGCCAGTTCATCTCCTGGCTCCAGGACGTGGACGACAAGTACGACCGCATGAAGGTTGGTGTTTCCTACCCTGAGCTGCACGTTATGTTGTTTCCAGGCCCTGCAGGCGGCCACCCATCTGAGCTTGGCAGTGACGATTTCTGGCTCTGTATTAGGCTGCCTGGTGCTTTCTGGAAGTCCAGGGCCTGCCTGCCACGGGGCCACCTCCCTGTCTGCCCTTCTGTCCAGGTGGGCGGGGAGCAGAACAGGACCTTGGGCTTGGTCTTAGATTCTTGGGGACCTGACCTTCAGTCCTCCCCCCAGATTCTCGCCCCTGCTGGGAGGGCGGGCCAGGGCAGCAGCCAGAGGGCACGTGGGGCCGGAAGGTCAGCCAGAAGCCCCCCCCTGCCACCAGGCTGCACCCTGGACGGTGGGGGGGGGCCCTGAGGCTGTGAAAACAGTAACCAGCTAGTGACAAACTTATACACAGTCAGTGTTGCCCGGTGTAGACAGGTGTACACCAGTCATGGAGCAGACAGCCATGGTCACACCTGCTGCTCTCACTCAAGAGGGAAGGACCCAGACCCCCAGTCCACCCACAGCATGTCTGAGAGTCGGGTGGCATTTCCAGGAGGACAGCACACCCGAGTCTTTGAACCAAGTGACTGGCAGGTGTCACACCACAGCAGTTCACTCAGAATTGTGCTGGCATGGGCGCAGGTGGCAGAACCACCAGCACATGGCCTGAGTCGTGACCCTGGGACTTGTGAGGAGGCCAGTGCTGGATTCTGAGGTGAGACCAGTTTGCATCTCTGACCTGCCCCAGAATGCTGGTGCGTGACGCCATGTCAGCTCACACCCTCTGGACACCGCTCTGTAACCTGAGCGCATCTGAGCTGTTGAGTTGGAGCTGTGCATCCCACGGAGGATTACAAGTCCACTGGGGGTCAGACACAGTGTAGTGTGCACATGTGGATGAAGCGTGGACACGGCCCCACGCGGCAGCAAACACCGTTACTCCTAGAAGACGTGGTGGTCCTCCCCAGCACGTCTGAGAATAGGGCGCTTCTCCTGCACAGTCACGGCAGCGTTCAGCTGAGTCACGATGCCCATCGTGGTGTCCTCCTGGGCCACAGTTTAATTCCCCACATCTGTTCCCAAGACATGTTCCCCCATCCCAGCCCATTCTCCCGTGCACCTTTAGATGGCCTCGTTTTCTACTATAAAAAGACGAGCCTGTCCCCAGCCACATGTAGCAGCCCTGTGGCAGCAGTGAGAGCGGAGCAGTCAGATGTCACGAGGCTGTGGTGCCCGAAGCCAGTACTCAGCAGTGACAGGGAAGACAGTCCGGATCCCAAGCACGTGCCGAGGGTCTTCCTGCAGCCACCTGGCATTCCACACGTCCCTGTCCCCAGGGTGAGGTGGGGTGGGAACCATGGTGGGCTCCCACCCCTCCTGCGCCGGCCCTCACCCACCGTGTGCCCGCAGACCTGCCTGCTGATGCGGCAGCAGCATGAGGCCGCGGCCCTCAACGCTGTGCAGAGGATGGAGTGGCAGCTGAAGGTGCAAGAGCTGGACCCTGCAGGGCACAAGGCCCTCTGCGTAAACGAGGTGCCCTCCTTCTACGTGCCCATGGTTGATGTCAACGATGACTTCGTGCTGCTGCCTGCATGACCCCGCGGGAGGGCCCAGGACGCAGGGAGGGCGCCTAGACCGCCCAGTGCTGCTGATGAGCCCCGAGGTGAGGAGGGCGCACCGCCCCCCCCCAGGGAGACCAGAGAGACTGTGTCGCCGCGCGTCCCTGTCCCTTCCAGACTGGCCGGATGCCAGGGAGGTGGGCGCATCTTTGTACCAGCCACTGCGGGTGTGAGACCACGCAGGCACATGGTGACCCCGGTCCTCTCCACCGGCTGCAGGGCATTTCGGGAGTTGGAGACGGAGTGCGTTTTAAAGCTTCTTGTTCCATTCTGATCAACTAAAGGAAATAAGATTAAGTGTCAGCCTCACAAACTGGCCTCCTGTGGCGCAGCAGAGCGCCGTCCCCGCTGCCGTCCTGTGGTCGTGGAGCTGCCGGCGGCCTCAGCCAGGCAGGGACGCGGAGCACCGAGGCCCGGCCGCCCCTGCCCGGCCACAGTGGGACACGAGCCAGGACTCTCCGATAGTGTTTTTAATGGAGTCAAATCCACGTGGTTTGTATATTTTTTCCTTTGATCTTGGGCATTTTGTTTCTCTTTCTGAGAACATAACTTGAAACACTACAGAGCCAATAATCATATAAAAAGTGTATCCGTAAACGCTGTACAGTTTTATATACATTCACAATGTACTTTTGCTGCCTTCTAGATAATTTATTTTGCAACACATTACTGCACAGTTGTAAATAACTTATGTACTGTAACATCACTTTCAGTTATGTGTAAAGAAATAAATAAATTAATTAAAACTCTGTCCTTGTGTGCTGTCCCTCCGGGAGGGGGGATAGGACCCAGCGCCCCTGGACACGCGACTGTCTCCCATGTTCCTGCTACCCTCACCTGGCACCACAGCAGAATCTGCCACACAGCCCTGTTGTCTGTCCCGAGGCCCCGGGAGCAAGGGAGAAACCGGAGAGTCACTCCTATGAGTCTGAGCACCCCAAAGACCATTCGGCCAAGGAGGGTGGGGCTTCTGCTTGCACCAGGACAGGATGGGCCGGTATTCTGCACTGCCGGCTGTTTCCCGTGCCTGCAGTTGGTGGGTGGACCCCTTCCAGACCCCTGTGCTGGTGGAAAGGCAGCTCCGGCAGCTAGGGGCGTGCAGGGGCCATGGCCTGGGGCAGGCAGTGGACAGTACCCCGGGCAGCTGGGGTACTTTCCAAGCCTGTCTCCTTGCCTTGGTGGGAGGCACCACCCTGCTGGGCACTTCTGTGGGCTGGGGCAGTGGGAGCTTCCCGCAAGGCCCTCTGGAGAACATAGCCTTCTGTGCCTGGAAGACATGGGTCCTGGCCACCATGCCCCTGCAGAACCACCCGCCCCGAGCACCCCGGATCCTGTGAGCTGAGCTGGCCAAGGACAGCACCTCCGTCCCCGGAGACCCTCAGGCGTTCCCTCACCGGCTGGTCGGGGCAGGCCGCCTCTGCTTCCCAGTCTGCACCGCAGCCTGTGGGCTCCCTCCTAGTCCCTGCAGGGCTGGGCTTGGCCGAAGCACAGCTGGTCCCACCTGGCTTAGATGCGTAGGGGTGGAGTGTGGAGAAGCCAGAAAGTTCTAGCATACTTTCCTGGGTGTGGCTTTGCTGTGGCCTTTTTCTAAATAGCAGAACTCTGATCACACACCAATTCCGCTAAGCTCTGCTTCTGCTTTTTAGAAAGAACCTGAGTTAAGCTGTGGATGCACGGAAGTGTCTTCTGAGCCTGTGGCCTCAGCCATGGCCGCCCCTCCCGTGCGGGGGCCTGTGTTGGTGCCACAGGCCCCTTCAGGCAGCAGTGGCTGAGTAGGGCAGGAGCGGGGCGTCCTGCTGCAAGGGGCTGACCACAAGGCTGTGAAGTAAGAATGTGTGAAGTAAGCGTCCAGGACAGCCTGGGCCTGAGTGCACATCAAACCCCAGAAGTGTATTGGTTGGGTGGGGGTCTGGGGATATTGCTGCCTGCCAGGCTGGGGCCTGAGACTGCCCTGTGGGCATCTTGCCACCCCCAGGATGTCCTGGTTGGAGGAAGCAGACCAACAGCCTGCCCCATGTGCCCCCGGGGTTCCCCGGCTCCTGCTTGGGGTCTGGGCCCTGGCACAGGCTGGCGTGACTGCTTTGCACACACTGCAACTCAGAGCACTTGACCTGCTCAGAGCCTATGCTAGCCTCAAAGCACCCTGGAGAACAGAAGAGTGTGCAGACCCTCTGCCCCGGAACCGGAGGCTTTCACCTTGCTAAGGGTGGGACCCAGACTTAGATGGAAAGAGGAAAGAAACAGAGCTGCTCCCGCCATGGGGGAGAAGCTGGTGGCCATTCTGAAACCTGGAAGTCAGGGAGCGGTTTTTGTGAAAAACCCATGAGCCACTGCCTCTTGCAGGGACAGGAGCCTGCACTACCTGGGACCTGCAGCATCTGGCCTGTCCTAGGGTAGCAGGACAGGGCTCCTTCTAGGAGCTCCCATGACCCCTGGGAGACAAGCCTGGTGGGAGGAGAAGAACCCCTGCCATGGGGACAGCCACACACGGGCTCCATCTGGGCAGACCTGGGGACCCACCTGCCCAGACCAGCTGTGTTTCTCCTTTATGTTGGGGAATGGGAAGACAGGTGCGCAGGAGGTGGGGAGAGCCGGGTCCAGGCCACGAGGAAAACGAGCCAGGGGAGGGACCCAGAGGCAGTGAGGGTAGCCCTGGGGCAGACCCAGGAAGGTGGGGAAGGAGGCATGACACACACCAGCGCTGAGGGCCATGAGATGGCACACACCCTGACAGCTCCACTGCTAGGCACAGAACATGACTCACAAACATCAAGTTATTTGTGAAAGTCAAAAACTGGAAACCTAGCCAGGCTCGGTGGCTCAGCCTATTGTCCCGCACCTTTGGGAGGCTGAGGTGAGTGGACTGCCTGAGCCCGCGGGTTTGAGACCCGCCTGGGCAGGCGAGACCTCATCTCTACCATAAATCAAAAAATGAGCTGGGCGTGGTAGCGCACGCCTGTAGTTCCAGCTACTCAGAAGGCTGGGGTGGAAGGATCACCGGAGCCCAGCAGGTCGAGGCTGCGGTGGCCAGGAGCGGCCACTGCACTCCAGTCTGGGCGACATGGTGAGACAACAACTCAAAAAAAAAAAAACTGGAAACCTGTGTTCCCAGTTCAGGAGGCTGAGGCAGAAGGATTACTTGAGTGGATTGCTATGACTGCACCGCTGCACTCCGGCCTGGACAAGAGAGTGAGACCCTGACACTTAAAAGAGAAAAAAGCAAAGGAAACAAACGGCTTCTAAAGACCTGATGGATACATTGTGGAGCGCCCTTATAACTCAGTGCTCAGTACTCTGGGAACCTGGCCTTCCCGTACACTGGAAGATGCCGCAGCACGCCTGGTCTTTACCTACTGGACGCCAGTGGCTCCCCCTGCCCCAGAGTGTGATAGCCATAGTGTCTTCAGACATCATCAGTGTTCCCTGGGGAGCAAAATAACCCCCAGTTGAGAACTACTGGCATCCAGCAACAATTTTTTGTTGTTTTGAGTCCGGGTCTCCCTGTCATCCAGGCTAGACTGCAGAGGCACAGTCACAGCTCACCACAGCCTTGACCTCCTAAGCTCAGGCGTTCCTTCCACCTCAGCCTCCTGAGTAACTGGGATTACAGGTGTGTGCCACCACAGCCGGCTAATTTTTTTTGTAGAGACAAGGTCAACAGGCTGATCCTGAACTCCTGGGCTCAAGCAATCCTCCTGCTCCAACCTCCCAAAGTGCTGGGATTACAGGCTTGAGCCACCACACTGGGCCTCAGGGACATACTTCTAAAAACAGGATGCAAGATGCCAGATTAAAAAGGCAACGAGATGGCCGGGCGCAGTAGCTCAAGCCTGTAATCCCAGCAATTTGGGAGGC